CTTCCTAATGCCGCGACCCTTTAATACAGTTCCTCAAGTTGTGGTGACCCCCCCAACCATAAAATTATTTTATGTTTTCTGTATTTTTTTGAAAATATGTGTTTTCCAATGGTCCTAGGCTACCCCTGTGAAAGGGTCGTTTGACCCCCCAAAGGGGTCCCGATCCACAGGTTGAGAACCACTGCCTTAGAGGATAGGTTGTTTTTTTTTGCTTACAACCCTGAAAACAGAGTCTGTTAATTTTAAACCACACTGATATATTTGACATGGATAATTAGATGCATTTTTCCATTCTTTTATTAAGATATTATAATACTAAAAGACAACCTCCAATTGGATCTAGCTCAAATCTTAGAATAGCAAGTTTTTTTTCAATAAAATGGGAGTAAATATTCGTTTAAACTAAAAACACATTGCTGCTCTTTCCCTTCTAATAGAAAAGTTCTTCTCTTCATGATTACATCTATCACTTTTATTCCAAGCACTCATTTTATGATGTTTCAACACTTTTGCTCTACAGTGACACTCAGACTAGAATTTCACCAGGACCTCAGTCTCCATGGCACAGTAATCCTAACATTGTGGTACAAAGTTACTGAAGAAACAGAAGGATCAATATGGAATATGGACACGGGAGAGATCTTGTGGTAGTCTAGGGAGGAGCAGCAGATTCGGCATCTGTGCCAGAAAGATGCATAAAAAGCTCTCCAATCTCAGTTACATCATCATTGGCAACTGGCAGAGTCCTGTTTTCTCGGTCTTCGATAAAATCCCACAGACGAACAGAGTTGAGGAACTAAAACAGAAGGCATATTAGTTACTCAGACATATCTCTTATTCACTTTATCATGATCACAACTTTGAATGGTCACTGAACAAGTGGTAAGTGAGGACTACCGTATGTAATTTTCAAAGCTGTTACAATTGCTAGACAAACAGCTGCATGTATTCTTAAATGCACATTTTAAAATTATTGAGATTAATTGGGTTCTAAAATGGAAGCAAACAAGTGGATTATCAAAGTGGGAACTAGGTTTATTATGTCTGTGTTACATTTATTATATAACACAGATAAAGTGTTCCTCCTTTCACAATTATTCAGGTGTTTTTAAAATAGCATGTGCTGTCTCAAATGAAAGGAGATGATTAGATCCCAGAAGTTTTGGGAAGCTGAGACAGGATAGAGAGAGAGAGAGTTATGTATCTTCTTACCCGGACTGTCCCCTCAGAGCTGAGCTGCTTTCGTGGCTTCTCCGGCTCAGCTCGTCTTCCATCTGGGTAAGCATGGAGATACAAACATTTCCCCCCAAATGGGCAAGTTCCCTTTCCTTGTTCAAAATACTTGCAGGGCTTTCTCCTAGAATAAGAGAGTGAAGAATGCATATCAGTCACTCATGTGGAGACTGGCAGTTCAATGTATTATTACAAACTCAAGTTTAGTGGCTCTAAAAAGAAAAAGAAAACCAATTTACAGAGAGAAGATTGATCCTAAAAGCAACCCTGATGCATATTTCAGGACAATTTTGAAATGTGAATTGTGATGACAAAAGTATAAAGCAACTCAGTATTTAAAATTAAAACCATTGGCTATATTTATATGCTGAATAAACCCCAACATCTTTCTTTGGCAATAACCCATGCTGAACAATCTGTAAATGTACATTACATTTCTTCTCTGACTGCCACTGTCAAAATGAAACATACTCAGATCTTGGTGCCTTGTTCTTTCTCCAGTCATTACTCTATTATTTTCAGCCCATTTCTCCAATTTATAAAGATAATTTTAAATGTTATTTATTGAGTAATTACCCTACTAAATTTTATGTAATTTGAAGTATGACAGGCCTTCTCTTCACTTAGTCAACTAAGGAGTTAATAAAGATGTGGAAAAGTCACTAGGCCCATTTGGGCCACTTTCATTGATTTCTCACACCAGCACATCTTGAATATGATTTCCAAGGCAACATTTACTGTCATTGTTACTCACGCCTTGTATGATTATCCTCCTAGTCAAAATGTAATGGGTTACTTTGTCAAACTCTTTGCTGAAATCAAGATATATTAACTCTAAAACATTCCTAGGTTCTGCTAAGGAAGCAGACAAAAAATAACAAGAAGATTGTTAAGAAAAGTTATTAACAAATTCACATTAATTACTAACCCTCATTGTTTTGGGGCATATTAAGAGATAGATTAGTGTGGAAATTAAGACATTAGGCTAGGCTAAAATAAATTCTTTATTGGCCAAGTGTGATTGGTCTCACAAGGAATTTGTCTTGGTGCATATGCTCTCAGTGTACATAAACGAAAAGATAAGATAGAAACTCATAGGAGAGTGTGAGTTCTAATTCTGCCTAGGCATTAAGCCAACCGGGTGATCTTGAGCTTTCTCAGCTCTTATATTCCCACTTAAGGTAAACTTTTAACCAAACCACTGAATCTTTTCCATTACATCTTTGCAAAATATAAACTCACAGGGTCTCTTTTTATCTTGATGCACATAGGGATTTATTCCAGTTTATCTGGAGACCATCATGGCTAAACAATCTAACAATCAGTTTGTTCTGATCAACAGCTGCAGATTTCAGCTCTAGATTTATTCACAGCACAGCTCCTGATGTCACTGATAAGCAAAATGCTCCATGGAGAGCAACATAATGTAAACAACGAAAGTTCAGCTTTTTTAGTCATGCACAAAATGTTTTAGAGATTAGCAGTGAAGGTTACAGAACTACAAATGTGTCATTTTGCTAAAAATAACGTACATTTACTGTGTTTCCCCGAAAATATGATGTGTCCTGATAATAAGGCCATGCCACATTTTTCTGGTGGGCAAAAATATAAGCCCACCCCCGCAAATAAGCCCCCTGGACAACCCCCCACCTCCGGCCAGGCAGAGTGCCGCTCACCAACCTAGCGGTATCCCAATGGTGCCAAGCCACATGAATGGGGTGGGGGAGTGATTGTGTTGCTTGGTGCCTTTGGGATACTCTAGGTTGGTGAACGGCACTCTGCCTGGACGGAGGTGGGGGGTTGTCCAGGGGGCTGCTCTATTGCGAGCAAGCTCCCAAAGAGCTGGGCACAGCCTCAGGGGCGAATGGCTGTGTTGCGCTGTCGCAGCAGTGCAGCACAGCAGCCATGAAGCAACCACGCTCACGAGCAGCCACCCGGCAAACCCCCTTTCCAGCTGGGCACCGCACCATTCACTGACCTAGGGGTATCGCCAAGCCGCGTGAGCGCCTATTTGCCACTGCCTGGCTCTTGCAGCTTGGCGCCTTCAAAATGCCAGTGAATGGCGCTCTGCACGGCTGGAGGGGGTTGCGCGAGCAGCTGTTCTGCTCCCGCTCACGCACCTCCCAGCCTCACGATGCCCTGGCTCAGCTCTCCCTGCAGAGCCAGAGCACCGCCATTCCCGCTACCACTGCCAGCGGCATCCCAGCATGGCTTTTTCAGCAGCTTCCAAATCGAGTCTTCCTGTAGTGGCTACTCTGGGCATACGCTCTATGGTTGTATGCTCTGGGAGTATGCTCTGCCAGCATCCAGCCCACAACCATAGAGCGTACGCCTAGAGCGGCCACTGCAGGAAGACTCAGTTTGGAAGCCGCCGAAAAAGCCATGCTGGGATGCGGGCCTGTAAATGTGGCCAACTGCTAAGCAAAAGGTCATAAATCAAAGATTAACTGTATGTTTATTTTTCAAACAGGGATTTTAACATCACACGAGAACCACCACNTGCTAAGCAAAAGGTCATAAATCAAAGATTAACTGTATGTTTATTTTTCAAACAGGGATTTTAACATCACACGAGAACCACCACATACAGGTAAGTATAAGTATAATCTTTATTGTCATTGTACTTAAATACACACGGCTTGGCGATACCCCTAGGTCAGTGCATGGCACTGTGCCTGGCTGAAAAGGTGACTTGCTGGGTGGCTACTCATGAGCGTGGTCGCTTCATGGCTGCTTTGTGTGCTGCAGCAACAGCACAACACAGCCGTTCGCCCCTGAGGGTATGCCCGGCTCTTTGGGAGCTCGCTCGCCCATATTTTGGGAGCTCGCATATTTTGTGGGTATTTTCAGGGAAACACGGTAACTAAATACTAGTTGAAAGAATAGAATAAAATAAAATAACAGTGTTGGAAGGGAGTTTGGAGGTCTTCTAATCCAACCCTTGCGCAGGCAGGAAGCCATATACCATTTCAGACAAATGGTTGTCCAATCTCTTCTTAAAAACTTCCAGTGTTTGAGCATTCGTAACTTCTGGAATACTATATTAGTACTATATGATGTATACTGTTTTTTCCAATAAAACCAGAGTTTAGTGAAACTTTTCATCCCTCGACTTATAATTGCCTTGACCTATAACAAAAATACTGATCAAAATATTATATATTTCTTAAACCTATTCACATTTTCATTCTGAATTTACTACTTCTAAAATATATTTGATAACATCAATAAATCAATGAAATATGTTCTAGTAAAAGAATATGATTTGAAAATACAGTCCTTCATATATGCAAAAAAATACAGATTTGGGCTTAGGAAAAAAGGGGGGGGCAGTGAATCATTAAGGGACAAGGAAAAGGACCTAATCCCTGCCCTGAATTTATTTGATATAAGATGAGACAGGGAGGACCTGTGGCAGACTTTCAAGATTCTCTTACTTCCCTTTCTAACAATAAAAAGTATTCCTGAAACCTCTGGTGATTATTTCTTGACCTTAAAATGTTGACAACAATCTTGTAAGTCTCACTACTGTCTGAGAGGCACTTGATCTCACTTTCCAGTCTAGAATATGGTGACAGACCCTTGAGGCACCCAGCTGTCTGCAAAACATGTAGTTGAGGCATTATTACAGCCTCAACAGCAGCAAGATACATAGATAATAAACCCATAGAACACTGTGATACAGTTAGCAGTAAAGTTCAGGTTCATCTTAGCAGGAAGCCAATGCTGTTCTGTTCTTCTGGAGGTCTACCAGAGAAGTTTGAAGAAACTCAAGATCCCCAACTTTCAAAACCTATGTGATTTGTTCATGACAGGCTGACTAAGAGGATTTTCTACAGGTCAGATCAAGGTCACCTTTGTTCTTGGTCTGCTGAAAGAAGTGTCAGCCAGATGGACAGTCCTACTCATTGTGAACATTTTCAAATAATAACTTCAGGCATGCTTTTGATCTATTTGGCAGATTTGCAAAGTAAAACAAGGACATTGCAAATTTGTAGTAGTATGTGGCTAATTTTTAGTTTCATGCTGGAGATGTGCACCAAATGATATTTCTAAATTCAACAGTTTCAGAAATACTTTGGTAAACTGAAGGATAAATTAGTAAAATGGGGCATACCAGAGAATAGCTCTAGGACATCTACCGATGGCTTGTCTTGACAAACTTTCTTCCTGTGAGTTGGTTGGAAAGCACCAAACCAGTGGAACTATGAATCATCTCCCAAATCACTTCATGGCCTCTTCTTTAGGAAATTCCAGTGTCTTCTCCCAAGAGCTCAGCAAGGAGGCCCCAGGCAATTAAAAATGTTTCAGATAAGCAACAATAGGCAAGTGCATTTTATTATCCCTATAATTCTTCACATCCCATCAGCACAGAAATACAATAAAGGCACATATTTGTGTTTCAGGGCTGAAATGGGGTGTGGGTCCTTCTGCTCTCTGAGCTTGGTTGTTTTCTTGCTGATGTTTCATACCAAAGCAGTAACATCATCACTGCTAGCAAGGAATGTAGTTTGCTCTCCATTCATATTCTAGTGGTATGTCCTGTCCTGTCAGTGTTGGTGGGAGTGGTATTGGGGATTCTTTGATTGCGTATCATTTGTAGCCCAGAGTTGAAATGAGAATTGGGTATCCCAATTAAGGAAATGCCAAATAAGCTAACAATAAACAGCCCAACTAAATTACCACTCGCCACTCGCATCAACACTTGACAAGACAGGCTGCTAGAATATAAACTAAGAGCAAACCCCACTCCTTACTAGGACTGATGATGTTACCTAGTTTGAAAAATGAAATGTCTGAATGAAAACTACTAAACTCCAAAAGCACCACAGACCCTTCAGAAATACAACCTTCTGCTCTTTTAGACTCTGGTGTGGTGCCTGATTTCACAGAAAAGAAGAATGTATAGCATGGATTGCCCTTACAGTGATTAGAGATATACATACTGATTGAAATGATTGATTGAAACTGGACCTATTTTGCAATGTACAATACTTGTTTAGTTGAAAATAAATGGTCACACAGAATTCTCTTACTCCTTTACAGGAAGTCCTTGTTTACCATCCAGTCATTCAGCCACTGTTTCAAGTGGCACAGCAGGGAACAAAAATGTCTTACAAATGGTCTTAAATGCTTGTACATACACTTACCCAACCCCTTGCTTAAATGCTTCAATTAGTTCATTCTTTTTTGTCTGATCTTCTACCCAGTACACACTGGGAATGACAAACTCGGATACCACGCGGCATTCTGGACAGGACCTTGAGTAGCAAAAAGAAAAGCTGGTATATTGCTTGTTGAAGAAGCTATTTTACCTAACTCAAAAACAGAACAAAAAGCAACAAATCCCCCCCACCAAGGTTCTCTGAATAAAATTACCCTTCCATTTATCATGATTTTAAAGGCATTTACCATGTAATTTTATTAAACCTAAACATTCTCTTTATTAAGAAAAGTCCATCTTATTTGTGTTTTCTGATCTAGGTTTTCACTCCTGCAACTTAACTTTTTATAATAAAAGTAAGCTTTACAGCATTTGAAGAGCACCTACTTCATTTCCTGTAAAGTTCAATATTTATCACTTTGTTGGTCTTTAATTTCTTTTTTTTTAAGTGGCAGGACTTGAACTTAAGAAATAACTAGCACCATCCAGCTCAAAATCTGCTGGAGAACTCCTATCAGTTTCATATAAATATTGAAATAAAATGAAAACAGACTAGAACTTAGAGGGACATAGTAAGTGCCCCAACTAAAATGTTTGAAAAAAATGAATAGAATTATGGCAAACAGCATCAGTCAATTCAGAAAAACATTGTGCTTAATAGCATTAATAATGATGCAGAAATCAGCCAGCACTAAACATTAGTCTGTAACCTGGTGCCCAAACGAACATAATCCATCAGAAATCAAAGACCCAAAGCCCACTCTAAAGCTGTTTGAAATTAATCAATTTTAAAGCAGTTTGAAATTAATCAAGATAATCTGCAACTGAGAAATCCAACATCATATTTTGTCCAACTTATGTGTCTTGGTGACTATCCTTGTCAACTGTCAGCTATTCTATCATTTTTTTAAGCTGTAAGGACTGAACAGTTTGAAAGGAAACATATAACAAAGTTTTGGAAGAACCGGCTATGGGAACTTACTTGATGATGGGATTCTCAAACTGCTTGATCCCCCTCCACTGACGGATACAGGACAAACAGTAGGTGTGATTGCAGTTAGAAAGGATGCCAAATCTTCTTTCGGATGCGGATGGCTTGTCATAAACCACTTCCATGCAGATACTGCACACTTTGTCTTGGCTTGCCTGGAAGGCAAATGCGTTCTCCATGTCATGTTCAAAACTAGCCATGCACATCTAGATAGGGGAAGAGAAGGCAAAGATAGAGCAAAGGAGTGGTTACTCTGGATTGATAAAATAGTATGCTTGCAGTAAAACACAACAATTTCATTAAAATCAAGGAAGCTTACTCTTAAATAAGTAGATGAAGAACTGCAAACAGAGAAAAGTCTGTCTCTGCCTACCATTGAAGGCTTTAAGTTTTCAATTAGCATTCAATTTTATTGGCAAGAACCACTGCTAATAAAATTGGATTACATAATACCAAGTAACTTTATTAAAAACTACCAGTCACTTTGTTCTTACTGAAAAATGGGACATAATCCACTGCTATAAATAACACTGGCATTTGAAGTGTCAGACAGAAACAAATATGATACAGATACAGGATTTTAAAGATAACTGAATAGAATTATGGGATAACAGAATTGTACCTTTTATAAATTATCAAGCAAAATAAATGAGCACATATTTTTACACAATAAATCATAGCATGACAAATGAACCAGATCAGTGTGTATAGGGAAGCTCCACAACATGCAACCAATTCAACAGATTAACAAAGTTTGCCACAATAAGTCACAAGCTGAACAGGAATGAATAATTTTTAATATTTGTAGGTATGAACTTTAATATTAAAAAACCCTTGCAAAAAATTAATTACAGATAGTCCTCGACTTTTTACCACAATTGAGCCCAGAATTATGGTTGTTTATCATGCTGGACATTAAGTGGGTCATCCTGACCATGCTTGATTTTATGACTTTTTTCACATTGGTCTTTAATCTCTGCAGCCAGTAAGCAAATGCTGTGGACGTTAAGTGAATTGTCTGGAACAGATGCTTTTTTGCCAGAAACCAAACACTGGTTTCCAGCAAAGAAGTCATAAATTGCAGTCATGTAACTGTGGGGCACTGCAAACATCTGTAAATGTGGGCCTGTAAATGTGGCCAACTGCTAAGCAAAAGGTCATAAATCAAAGATTAACTGTATGTTTATTTTTCAAACAGGGATTTTAACATCACACGAGAACCACCACATACAGGTAAGCATAAGTATAATCTTTATTGTCATTGTACTTAAATACAACAAAATTGGTTGTAAATGATTATGCTGGTGTCTGACCTGGATTGGATCCTGCAACCTTGTCCTGGGACACACATTTTTGCCTGCGTTCATAAATGAGTTATATTTAGAATAGAAGGCTAAACTAAGCGATTTTTCTTCTCCCACTTTCATGTTATTGTGGAATCAGTCAAAAATATATGTTTAAACTAATCACAGTTCACCATGATTTTCTATCTAATAAGTTCATATTAGAGAAAAAAAATCTGACCATATTTTGTACAGGTGGCTTCTATAATCTATAGGTCAATTAACCACAGTTCTGCTTAGTAAATATAGCTCAGATCTTCTTATCCCTATTAAAGGATTTAGGCATATGGCTGTGTGTGGAGGATGACTTTTGGGATACATTCTGTGTATTTTATGCATGTGCAAATAGGAAGAAATAGGCTTTGGGGCATATGTAAAGTACAGTGTGTTTTACCAATATCTTATCTCTAGTTTTGTTTCTGCGGTTAAGCTAAAATAAAATAGAACTCAAATAAATAATGAGGGTCATCTTTGTTTCTATGAGCCATATTCCCTTGGATTAACAAATCTGCATGTTAATACAGAACATTAATTGATCTAAAACCAGACTATGTACATTCTTCCAATAATCCAAAGAATTTTATAAGCATACAATGAACAACACATTCTTTCTTCTAAAATATAAAAGAAGTTAGAACTAATACGATTGGGCCTATATTTCTTTCTGACATTTTTTATCAAAGAATTAAATTGCTTTTTCACTATGTGATTAGGTAGAGAGATCTTATAGTCCTTTTAACAAAGCTGCCATTCCCCATATTCAGATGTTGTGGGGTACTGCAATTTCTTTCTTGCAGGTCTGAAAGAGGAGAGAAGCTATACAAACCCAAGGTTTATACAGTGATTTCCTATAATGGAAAATAATAAAGTATTCCATTAGATTTGCACAAGCTTGTACTCAATCCAGATAAGACCGAGTGGCTGGTGTATTTCCCTCCTACTAATTGGCCAAGTGTTCC